ATATATATATATATATATATATATATATATATATATGGATATATTTTTTAAATTAAATACACGTTCTAATTCTACTTAAGTAAACCGCAGGATGTCGTTACTGACTCATTTGCTTAAAATCACATTTACAAGTTAATAGTTTGGCGATAGTTTACTTCGGCGCTAGAAATAGTGTGGCTGTAACACACCTTAAATGCTCGAGTCGCAATAAGCTTGGTATCATGACATGCTTCCCTGACGTTTAGGTCTTCGGCACTCCAACTGCAGCCAACTACCTGGACCACCCATCCAAAAGCGCGTATTCACCTGCCCTCCACTAAAAAGTGAGTTAAAATACCAGTTACCGGAAAAAAAATACGCAACCCATAAATATATTTTCCTCTACTTTTGCTGTCTTAGTCTTCTATTACTTGAGTAAACTTCTGTTTTTCATTTTGTTTACATAAGGCCGAATTATATTTGTGATTTATTCGCTGTTCATTTCCACCTATGATAGTGATTTTCCCTATTTTAAATCAATCACGTAGTTCCTGCATTCTGTGGGTCAGGGCGTAAATTTTTTAGTAGAGTCTTTGAATTTCGTATGGCAAATGGTATGTTGTCTACAGAAATTTCAGCCAAATAATTAGAAAAAAATTACTACTCACGAGAAATAAGTAAGCATTGTCGTATTGAAGCATGTGGTGCTCATATAATTCGGTAGTCGACCGTCGGCGAAAACGAAGCAGAAAGCACACAAATTCGTGTAAACTGTCGTCTTCCGGTTACGAGTTTATGAATATTAGATAGTTATTGCGTTAACGTTAATCAATGTCGATTAAAATATTTGCATCACATTTCGGATTGCACCTATTCCTAATTATTTTTTTCAGAGATAGCCCGGTTAGTTATGAGGAAAGTTCAACTCCAAAATGCACTACTAACTGAAGCCACGACGCTGACTGCGGATGAATTTATGAATGTGGAAATGAACTTTTCCGCACCTAATTTAATCTATTTTTGCGCTCGTGTTAAATCCTCATGTGAAGCTAAAACTCAATACCGTTGGGGTGGGCAAAATCTTAAAATAAAGTTTGACAAAATCCAACGGCTTGTCCAGATGTAACAGGGGCGATCATCTCCCATTTTCCTAGGACAATGCCCACGATTCAAGAAAACAACAGCATAATATAGGCTATATCAAGCACAAACATAGTATTTGGAGCAAATGGTGGAGCTCATTAAAACTCTACTCAGTCCGTAGAGTCGTACATAAAGAGTAGTTACGTTGAAAATTTTGTTACGTGTAAGTCTTGTGTGCAGAATGCATGCAATCCATTATGAAAACTAGTTGGTAAAAGAGTGGGACACTGGCGGCACAATGGCAAGCAACACATTCACCATATTTTCACTATTAACTTCTCAACACCGACAACATTAATGCAAACAAAACGGTGTTTTGCAATCAAGATAGCCATATGTGTATACTTACCTCAGGGAAGCAATGGAGGGCGCTGTTTGATCTTTAAGAGGCAATAATCCAAACACCTGCTGAACGGATTCACTGTGGCACAATGAGCATCACATGACGGTTAGATTTTCAGCTAGTAGCGACTCTCACTGAAGAATGAGAAACTGCAGCCTAAATCATAATATATAGGAGGATTGTAATTTTTATAAGTTACGGTTCTTATTCTGCATGTGAGTAAGCGCATTTCGCGAGTGTATAGTAAGCTAGCATTATAATATTAAAAGGGCAGATCATTGGGCTCACTGGTTGACCATGTGTCTGGAAACCATTACTCGGTCAGCTCGCTGGTCATGTTGTTGTCATACTTTGAGGGGCATCTGGTCACGCGAAATATGTTCGGTTTCCATCGAATGAGCTGCGCGGTTGCCGTTAGCATTCCCGTCCGGAGTAATATCTTTAATTCTCCGCTGTATGCGATTTGTCAATTACTCTGAAACGATCGTGATCCAGGGATCATACCTTCTCCTTCTGAATTGCTAAATTAACTGCGCCTGATTGATTGTATCCGAGGGGAGTCAGGATATCAGTTTCATTGCATGAAGTTCAGATGAGGAGAGAGCCAATGCAGACTGACGGCAGGTTAAGAACGAAATCGACATACGACCGCAACTGACCTTCCAATGCAAATGAAATTCCGAAACCAGTAAAAACTTGTTTTTATACTAATCGTTGCGATTGTTTATTCTCTTGCATGGATATTACGGTATAAAAATATCCGGCGATATACTATTCCGCAAGATAAATGTTTTGAGCTGAACCTTTTTTTCTAATTTTCTGTGGATGATATACAGTGGTCGCCATAGACCGTGTAATTTTCCTTAATTTGTATAAGTTAGATGATTG